GGCTAGGATGGGGGGTGGGCAAAAATTTTGTTTGCTCGAAATTGAGAATAAGATCAAGGTCTGACGTAAAAAACTCTTGGTCGGTTCTACATCCGACGGCTGGAAGATTGCCATTCACTTGCAGGAGGTGGAAAATAGCATGCCGGGGGCCTTACCTGCCAATTTTTAGGACGTCCATGAGGTGTTCAAAGAGAGTCTGATATCGGTCCCACAGTATACCGCAAAAAGAACAATGAACCAGGTAATGGGAAGGGAGGATGACCCCGGGTGACTGGAGGGCTTTAGAAACCAACGAAGCTGCGAGAACAAACATGGCAAAGGAAAAGCAGCGATAGAAGTTAAAGGTTTGTCCATTCCGTCAGTCCTTTATGACATGTACCATCCTTGATGTTGCACATTCTTGTATCGAGCGATTTATAACTTTTAATTATGAGAGAGTGGTCTTTGTTTAGGACACAACGACTGATGAGTTAACCATAATTGAGCGATCTCATTCAGCTGTTACAGGGCAAAGAGAAGGGGTGAGAGCGGGCTTTGAGTAAACTCAAAAGAGGGTTGCTGCTGTAGATCCTTCCTTCATTACGCCAGGTGAACCGATCATCGCTTCTTCGCTGACTGTCTGACCCGCTGCTACCATTCTTGATGTTGTGCCTTGTGAGCTCATTAAAATAACTCTGGAGGTGAAAGTTGGGAGAAAAAATTGGACTTATAGCAAGGCACTGGAAAAATGAGAATGATAAGAATTTCAGAGGCCATTGTATGCCGCCAATCCGTCCATTCCTTACGAGCTTCTCAGAATGTCACAGAAGATAACGAGGATGTAAGATATGATAATTGGGTGCACATGTAATATTAAAATTTAGAGTGTTTGATATGCAATTTAATAAGAATTGGATGGTTTGTATGTAGATCCCCTATTTTAATTTTTAATATTTTTGTCATACATATGTTATGTGTGTGATATGTATGTAAATTAAAAGATTAAAAAAAATTTTATGTGATCCCCCGTCTCCCGGTTATCCGCCGGCCGAACCTAAACCCCCAAAACCCTAAACGCACGTCCTCCATTATTACCTCTCCGGCGGCGGTGCGCTATGCGTTTCCTCCCATCAACATACACTGCAGGCACCTTATCTCTCTTCCTTCGGTATCGTCGGTTCCTTTCTTTCACCACCACCACCACCTCATTCTCCTCTCGAAAGCTCAAAAACCTCCATTACCGCAACCGCACTCGAGCCCTAACCGAAGCCAAGCTCGCACTCACCGAATACCTTCACGCCACTCGCGCTCTTCCCTTTACTCTTGCCGACCACATTGCTTCCAACTCTCCCATCTCTCTCTCTACTTTCGTCTCCCAAATTCCTTTCAACAAAGCGATTCCCTCCGACTTCCCTCGCATCATTCGCAGCTTCTTCGCTTACCGTCCCGTCAACGAGTTCGACTTCTTCTACGAGAGCATCGGACTTGCTCCCTCCCACCCTTCGCTCCCTTCTGGTACTCCACTCTTCCTTTCCGACGACGCGCGACTTCTTGCCACTGTTTCGTCTCTGCTCCGGTTTGGCTTCCCATGGACTCTCCTCGGCTTGCTTTACCTTAATTCCCCGTCTATTTTCTCTTCTCCGCCAGGCCATCTTCTCAATCGGCTTCAGCGGTTTGAGGCCCTGGGATTCACTCGCGTTTCCGTGATCGCCATTTGCCTTGCTTTTCCGTCGACTCTTTCGGCGGTGGAGGAAGATGTGGAGATCGAACGACTCTTTCGCGACCTTAAAGTTGTGTTTGTCGACTATGGCCTTGACGGCTGCGCTGGAGATGATGTGGAGCTGCTCCTTCGCTTCTGCAGGAGAATTCGCATATTTTATGATATGTGTTCATGGAAGGAGGGTATGGGGGAGCTCATGGGCCGGAGCAAGAGGATATTTGTGGAGATAGAGGAGTCCGGCCTTACTCAAAAGTTAGGATTTTTTTTGAAATTGGGCATGAGAAAGGATGAGGTAGGAGCTTTTACTCTGAAGAATGTAGAAGTTTTTGATTTTGATCTGGAAAATCCAGAGATTTTGATTCCAGATTACCTCATGCGCGTTGGATTGTGCAAAGAGGAAGTCGATTCTCTCACGAAGAGGCATCCCTATGTATTGGGGAAGAACAAATTAGGGAACTTGCCGGGAATATTGAGAACTTTGGACCTCGATAAGTGGTTTTGCACCAAAATTGTTGATGAGAAGAATATAAGTTTCCTTTCCCCTTCATATGCTAATGTTGATTCCTGTGATAACGAATTGGAGGCTGAGTTCGTGCAAGATTTAAAGAGGATAAAATTGGTAAAACAACACCAGTTTGTTGAAGTAAAAGTGGAGTTTTTTCTTAGTATTGGATTTGGGAAAAATAAGATGACAAGTAAAGCCATTGGGCTGGTTAGTGGCAACAAGGAGCTGCTGCAGAAGCGGTTTGATTGCCTTATTGGGATGGGAATTAAGTATGATATGCTTTGTAGAATTATAATCGCTGCACCAAAAATACTTAACCAGTGTGAAAACATGTTGCGAAAGAAGGTGAACTATCTCTGCCAGGACTTGGGCTACCCTATAGAGTATCTTAATAGTTTTCCCTCATTCTTATGTTTTGATCTAGAGAAGAGGATAAAACCCAGATATAAGATCTTAAATTGGCTTAGAGATAATGGAGTTGTGAAAAAGCCTTTTGCCCCTGCCACTGTTCTTGCCAACTCGGAGAAAAGGTTTATTTTTAACCTTTCATGCATTCATCCAGCAGCTCCCAAGCAATGGTTGGAATGTTTTTCCTCTCATAAGGACTGCAATGCTGATAAAGAGACCTGTTAGATTATCAAAATCATTTTTTGTTTTCTTCAGAACAATTAAGGGTTATCAATTGTTTCAGAAGAGATGGTATGCTGATCATGGATCCTATAGAATGGTGGGAGTTTGTCTTTATACTTTTATTCTCATTGTGATGGGGAATTGTGATGGGGAGCATAGAGCATACATTGCAGTCTCTCTTGGCTGAATTTGACTAATTTGTCTACTTGAGCATGGGCTTATGCACGAGTTGTTTCTCTGTTTCAGTAAGGTGTTTTTTACAGTGAACTTTGTGACATAATCCTTGAATCATGAGCTGTTACTTCATTCTTTGATTTATATAATGAATAAAATTCTAGTTATCACTGATATGAGTTATTGGCAAAATATTTCACTTCAATTTTATTACTTCATTTTACTATGATGGAAATTAGTAATTACCACTGATATGCATTGCTGGCAAAAGAATTTTGTATTGAGGCAACACGTTGTACAATCATTATCACGGGGATGTGTTCCTTTACCATCTAGGAAGCATTGTATCACTTTTGAAGAAACAGTGCCAGTTTATTTATCTTTTTGAAGAGGCTCTTTTTTTTATCTTTGATATGCTAGTAAATGATATTTTTAGAAACTATGCGGTTTCGTTACATATTTGGCATATGAGCATGAATGATCATTTTTGGAACTCTTCAAACAATTTAAATTGCTAGCTTTCATTTAGCCCTTTCTGACTGTATATATAGAGATTTTTTATTTTAATCAACTTAATGACACATGCAAAAGAATGTTCTCTTTTGAATAATGACACATTGTAATTTTTAAAAGTAATCTGTATGTGGAAACTAAAGGCTTGTTTTGGATCAATTTTGTTTTTTGTTTTTTCTTTTGTTTTTTAAAACATGTTTGCTTAATGTGTTTTTAACATGTTATTACTTTTTGTTTCTTAAAACAAATAAACATGTTTTTGAAAACAAACAACAAATTTTGGATGTTTAGAGTGTTTTCAAAAACAACCATATCTTAATCAAACGTACCAAACATGTTTTGCTCAAATCAAAGCATAAACAAAATTAAATAAAAACAAAAAATAGAAAAAAAAAACAAAAGTGATCCCAAACGGCCTCTAAAGAAATCCATAATGAGTTGTAAGCAAAAGATTTTTGGTGCTGTCTGGTTGCTAGTCATAGGAGTGTAGGATAAATTAAATGTGAGGAGTTTTAATTTTCTTGTTTTGAGTAGGGAGTAACTTAAGTTTAAAGCATTTTCATAGGGAACTCAGACTAATTCAAAATGGTTTTTTTTGTTGAATTTGGAATTCACGTAAATTGGGCAATTTTCAAATGCTGAAACTTGTAACCGACAACCTCAACTTCCTTGCCCATTGCATGTTGCAGTTACCACTGCTTGTTTCCATCCATTGCCATCTTTTCGCTGAGGCCCATCGTCACCTACTGCCACCATATAATGTTGTTGTTTCCATCACCATCTTTGTTTGAGTCTATTTTCATTGCTTTTTGATTCATTTGAGATATACTATATTAAAGACAAAGTCATCCTACCAAATAAGGATTAATTTTCAAATAAATCTATTGCAATTTCTGCATTTTTAAAATACATGTATTTTAAAAATATTTATATTTTGGCATAAAATATCTTAGTACCCATTTTTAAAGTATAATAATTTTTAAGATTATAATAACTATAGTAAAATCAATTTTATGAGCCATTAATAAAGAAGTTGAGTTTGAAAATAAAAATTTGAATTTGTTATGCTGAATTATAATTGGAGTAAAAAGAATGTAGTGTAACTAAAATTTATTGCATTTGGAATATTTTTTTTTTGTCTGGTTCGGTGTAAAATAAATATAAAATATAAATTTTTTGTGATTTGCTTGAAGTAAAATGATATCGACGTAGAGCTCAACAATAGCGGCGACTGTTATTAGGCCAATGGTGGTACCTGGTGATGGTTTTTTTTATAAAAATCATATCATTATTTATATTCCTTATATTTGGTTAATGTATTCTTGTCGTTAAAATTTAGCACTTACATGATCTTTTGATGTTGTTGACCAATACAATTTTAATTTGGTGCCCACTAAACTTGCATATCGCATGAGCCTTTTTCTTCATTCTTAGGCTTAATGTGGTTTAGCTTTTTCTTTTTTGTTGTGATAACATAGTTACCAAAAACCACACCTATGCTATTTGGGTGTAAAAAAGGTCACGTCTTTTTAGCAATATGCTCTACTGAAGTTTCTTTATATGGCACTTAGAAATGATTACGGTCCATTGAACATCTTGCTAAGCTCTACCTGAAAAGGTAGAATCCCATCCAAACAAGACATTAAGCTATAATATTTTTAAGATTTCTTGATTTGTACTAACTTTTGACTTTATATATTACCTCATTTTTTATCAGTGTTTAAAAATTGTGCAATTTGTGGAGTGAGTGAGGTGCATACGAAACTTATTCAGGCTTAGGTCTCATGATAGGTTATTGAAAAATATGTTTTAGTTGTTTGAGGTTCACTTGTGGTACCTGTAATGAGGCGCACGTCTCAATTTCAAAACTAGAAGATGTTGTACCTTCTTATTTGACTGCTTGATGCCGAATCATCATGTTGACAAAATTATGGATAGAGTAGGCTGATAAAAGTCAGGATGAGGTAGGATATTGATATATGTGTGGATGCGACAGGAGGGAAAACAATCAGCTACAATGAATATTTTAATGAAGATTCTCTAAGTGATGGAGTGGTAGATTCTTTTGAATTTGAACCCTCAAGTCATAATCTATTTATTTTAGATTTCTTGCTTATTTTTTAGCATTTTATGGCTTTTTATGATGTTATTTTGATAGTTTTGGACCACTCTTGGATATTCTTGTTTATTTATATTTTATTAATTTTTTTGTTTAATTTAAAGGTTTATGCATCACCTTTTAAAAAAAGCTTCTGTATATGATTGCGAAAATTTAAGCCCTATTTATTACTACTATGTTCTATGTTTTTTTATTTGATCACCTTAGTAAAAAAACATCTTTTAGATTTTTCTAGCATAATTCTATCAATTCTCAAACATTGATATAATTTTTCTGCGAAAGCATAACACGATACTCAAAGGGATTCCTCTTCTCTTCAAATTGAAAAATTCAAACAAATTGAATGTTTTAGTTAATTTGAAGTGTCTTATTAGAAAAATTGAACACAACAAATGTTTATGTCCATATTTAAGTAGAAATTGTATGAATAATTGAATAAAAATTCACAAATCCCTCATCCTTGCAAAGCCATTGACAGCCAATAATGGAGGAGAAATCCACCCTTAGCAGAGTATGACCATATACCATGAACTTAAAATTGAGTCAATATCTATTGATAAACAAAAATAAAAGAAATCTTTCTGTTAAAAAGGCGAATGCGGCAGAATCAAAGATATATAGTGATGATGAGGAATAAACTACTTATTGTAGGAGCTTTAACTTGTTATCAGCCTGAAAGATTATTGGGAAATCATCCCAATCAGCAGCTTCAAAGTACAAAAGGAAAAGAGTTGGCAGTGAGGACGAGTCATGAGATTCTTAGGTTTTGAAATTGAGGGCACAAATGTGACGTCAAGTGAACTAAACTTAGCTTTTATTTTTGAACCATTTGAGAGAAGAATTGATGAATCATGCATTCAAACAAGACATATGGAGCAGAGTGAAAGATGGCAATGACTGCATTCCAACATGCGTTGTGGAGGCGAAGATCCTTGTGGCCAAGTGAGGTGCTTTTCTGTGAGTTTTAGCTCCGCAAATTTTGGACTTTCATCACGAAAATGTACTTTGTAGTGTGCTTTTAATGAATCCGTTGTAAATATTAGTACTTGCACTATTATTAAAAGTTTTTCATATTACATATTTTTAGATTAGTGAGTAATAAATGACCATCTATGTTTTACACTTATTTGTAGAAGTAATTTTCATCATGTTTTGTTGCTTGCCTAATAAAAAAGTTAATAATTTTACCCAAAAAATTGTACGTGCTATTGAAATAGCCCTAAAAAAATTGAGGTAGAAAGGAAATTAGATGGAAAGAGGTAGTTCATTTTTATGAAGAAAAAATAAATGAGATAAATTAGTATTGACTCATGAAAAGTTATGTATAAGCATTTGCCCATAATAGTAAAGAAAAAGGTTGTAATGGTCCATGGACTATTTTTATGGGCCTACTGTTGGTCTAAACTATAAAGGCATTCAACATAGCTCCTCAATTTCTTAACTGTGCCCAAAATAATTTGTCCGTTGATTTATTTTGGGTCAATTTTGAGGTGTTAAGGAACCATTTTGTATCAAATTTTAGTAATTAAGGGACTAAATTGGTCATAAATTTCTTCCAAATAAATAATATAGGGATCATTTTGACCTTTTTCTCTATAATAATAGGGTAACCAACCACCTACACTTTTGGGGAGACACTTACCCAAGAATCTTAGTGCTCATCTTTCATCTATCCAAAAAACCTTCCATATATTGTCCTTTTATTGCATCATGAATTAATTGAGGTTGCTAGTGCGGGCTATTGATGGTTGGGAGGCACAATCAAATTTGCTGATTGGTTGAGAAGTATGATTTCACCAAAGGATATGGAAATGCTCGAGTCAAGACATGACAGAGTATGATCTTTATCAATCTAATGTAGCCAAAAACAAAAGAAGCATACTTGCAAGTAGATGGAGATAATATTGTTAAATGTATGCTTTAAAGTTGTAATACACTAGCGGTATGTATCGTGCGACTATGGTATCTGTATATCACATATTTTTGCGCACATCTGTAATGCGTTGAGTGATCACATGAAGAACTTATTTGATACTCATTTGTTGGACATTTTTATAGTTTAGGTTCCATGCGTTTGAATCATGATACAAATTGGAAACTCTTGCATGCCTTTTAATCCATGTAGCTCCTAGCTTCGCTTTTTGTCGATAGAGATAAGATGTATTTGTTCTCGCTCTTAACACTTGCCTTAAACTATTGGACTGTTCTTGCAGCTTTTTAAACTTTTTTTCTTGCTTTCGGTATGCGTATTGTGGTTTGGGTTTTCACTCTATTCTCTCTTGGTCATGACTTGATGTGGTTTCCACTAGATCGAGTGGTTTGATTGCT